CTTAAATAAATAAATGAACACTGAAATGGGAATTAGGAATAACGAAAGGATCCAAGTTGAAAAGAAGCAAGAAAGAAGAATGAAGAAATGAAGATTAAGACAGATCTGTATCCTCTCTGCGTCGCAAAGAGGAATTCTATTCTTGGTCGCGAATTAAAAATGGGACAGAATGGTCCGTGACAGCTTCGCGTCGCAAAGAAGAGAAGAACTCCTCAAACTGGAGTTGAACAAACACCTCCGCGTCGCGCCCCAAAGTGCTAGTTTTGGCCGTTTCGACTTAACTATAAATAGATTCATATTTTATTTTATTAATTATGTTTTTCCTGGGTTTTGAAGAACGATGATTGGAGAGCTATTTCATTAGTTTTTAGGGTTCTTTCCTAAATCTTCTATTTTCGATCATTTATGATATTTAAACTTTGCTTGATCGAAATTCCTATTATGAGTAGCTAATTTCCCTAGTGCTAGGGCTGTGGCTACAGGATGATTGTAAATTATTGAAGTTTTATGGATTTATATTAACTATCATATGAATCTCTCTTATGTTCTTATTTTCCGTACTTCATGCTTGATCACCATTGAAAAAAGCATATTGTCTTAATTGAAATCGGGAGAGGAATAAGAGGATAGAACGTGGGGCATGAGGAAAATGATTTTCTCTTAAGAATTAGAGTTAATTTGTATCTAGGATACGAATATACCTAGAAACCTTGTTTGGTCATTATACAGGAAGAAATCATAATTCTTGATAATTGGTCCAACCTATCCCCGCTCTCCGGTGTAGTTAGGTTGCCATTTATTGTAAGTGAGTAGGGGTCGAGAGACCATAATCATACATTTAACCCTATGATCATTAATTTGATAGTTGATGAATATCTGCTTTACAAAATAATGTGCATGATTCCTGATGTGAGCTACAGCCCTGGACTTTACCCAATCATTGGTTAAACCCTTTGGAAATTGAATCCTTTTTGTTTAGCTTTTACTTTAATTTTAGATTATAAAATAAATCACTCTTGTAACCTTGATAACATTTGTGTTTAATTGAAAGTATTTGAAAATCAGATTACTCTAATCGTGAGTCTTTATGGGTATGATACCCGGCTCTTAATAAGAGCTACTTTAATACTTGAACGACTATGTACGCTTGCGTGTGCGATTGGATGCAACAAGTTTTTGGTGCCGTTGCCGGGGACTATAGAAATAGAAAGCATTCGATTTGTCTAATTTCTGAAGTTAAAAAGCAAATGTTGACAACTTGATCTTAGCAATTCATTTTGCAGGTTGTGTTGAATTCTCAAACTGGAAAATGATCAAGACCTGGTAGAGCCTCTAGCTGAACTAGAAAGATTTGTTCATTACCGGAAAAGTCAAAGACGACTTACTTACCCAGTCCCTATTGTTGCTAGTGAACCAACAACTCATGTAGCAAGAGTTGAGCGAGAAGAACCTATACTAATGGATGAAATGAAAGTAAGAGACGTGACAATCTCACGTACCACCAATGTGACTTCATGCATTCAGAAACCTGAAGCTGGTGGAACTAAAGTAGAGTATGGTGTAGCTATTGCATGGAAATGGACAGTTCACTGGTTTATCGCACGAGGATCCAACAATCCATATCAAGAATTTACTCGAGATCAGTGACACTTACACTCCAGCTGGAGTGAACGAAGATTATGTGAGGCTCACGCTATTTCCCTTTTCTTTGCTACGGGAAGCAAAAAGATGATTAAATTCAAAGCCTGCTAACTTCATTGCCTCATGGGACGATCTTGCACAGAAGTTCCTTATTAGAGTTTTCCCATCTGGAAAATAGCTAAGTTAAGGAGCGACATACTGAGCTTCCGACAAAAAGGAGGAGAGAACTTGTACCAGGATTGGGATAGGTTTAAATCAATGTTGATGAGGTGTCTGCACCACCATCAAGCTAACAAAGTGTTGGTCCATACCTTCATTGAAGGATTGGAGACTAACACCAAGATTTTACTAGATTCAGCTACAGGTGGACAGGCATTGGAGAAGACTTATGCTGAGTTGTTCACCCTACTGAAAAGGATTTCACAAGGTAACCCCGAGTGGAATGGAGAAGGAACTAAACCCGTGATATAGAAATGTGGTGGAATATTGGAGGTAGATGCAATGACTGGCTTAACTGCACAAATTGCTGCACTGCAGAACATGATGAACACTCACTTCAAAAAACCTATCATTGGGACAACAGCCAGCTCAGGTGATGCAGTCCAACAACCACCAACTTGGTGTGAAATTTGCGGAGGATGAGATCATAATGTAGAGGTATATTGTGCTAACCCGAATTTTGTAATTTTTTTAGGAAATGCACAACGTGGAGGAGGTCATCAGAACTATGGAAACTCCTAAAATCCTAGTTGGCGGAATCATCCAAATTTTTCCTGGGGAGGAAATCAGAATCAGGCCCAAGGCCAAAATCAATATAGGCCAAGGGAAATGCACATGGGTATCAAGAATAGTCTCAACGGGAGCAACGAAATAATCAGCCAAGTAACATGAGTATGGAGGAGATGCTGAAGAAGATCATGGCTAATCAACCTCAATTAGCTACTGATGTTAGAAATAATCAGTTAGCTACCCATAACCTGGAGAAACAATTTAGAAAGTTTGCTAGTGCCTAGAACTCACGACCTCAAGGAGGTTTACCAGGAAACGTTGATCTTAATCCCAATAAAATGGATGTGGTAGGTACACGCAACGGTTTACAGTTAGAGGAGTTGGCTCCCAAGAAAAGAAATGTTGAATTTGCTAGAAAGGAGAGTGAGTTTGTTGCACAAGAAGGAAGAGTGCAACCAATAGTGAAACCACCTCCTCCATTCCCTCAGAAGTTTAAAAAACACAAGGAGGATGAATGTTTTGGTAAGTTTCTCTCTCTTCTAAATGAAGTTCATATTAATTTGCCATTGGTAGATGTTCCAGGTATGCAAAGTATGTGAAGGAGATCGTGGCAAACAAGAGGAGGCTAACTAAATATGAAATTGTAGCACTTACTGAAGCGTGCACCTCCCGAATCCAAAATAAGGTGCCCATCAAACTGAAAGATTCAGGTAGCTTTACAGTTCAGATCGGATTGTGTGATCTTGGAGCTAATATAAACTTGATGCCAACATCGTTGTACAAAAAGTTGTGGTTGGGTAGTCCTAAACCCACCACCATTATCTTGCAGTTGGCAGATCGCTCAATCGCTAGGCCAGAGGGTGTTGTGGAGGATGTCTTGGTACAAGTGAGATCTTTAATTTTCCCTATAGATTTTGTGGTGCTGAACTTTGAGCCATTTATCTTGGGAAGACATTTCTTGGATACAGGGCATCCTATGATAGATGTAGAAGTCGGAAAACTTACTATGCGGGCACATGAAAAAGTAGAGGTGTTTGATGTCTACAAGGCGTTGAAACTCCAAGCCGTGTATGAAGAGTTGTCTGCGATAATGGTGATAGATCTTGAAGCAGAAACTCGCTATATTGCATCCAAGGACCCGTTGGAGCAAGTGCTAATGGGAGATGATATCTATGGGGATGCTGAAGCACAAGAAATGCTACCGTTTTTAGATCTGTCAAAATGTGGGCGCATCAAGAGATCATTGGGAGCCTTTGAATAGGGTGTTGGACCCTCCACCCAAGCTGGAGTTAAAAGCATTGCCAGCCCCCTTAGGTATGCATTTTTGGGTGAAGATTAGACCTTACCGGTTATTTTATCTACAACTTTATCTGAATCACATGGGGAAGCAGCATTGAGTATTTTAAGGAAGAGAAAAGTGACTCTAGGCTGGCAGATGTCTGACATTCACAGCATAAGTCCCGCGTTGTGTATGCATAAGATTTACACGGATAAAGGACATAAGTCGAGTGCTCAACACCAACAGGGACTGAATTTAGTGATGAATGATGTGGTAAGAAAATAGGTGATCAAGTGGTTAAATGCAGGAATTGTGTACCCCATATCTGACAGCAAATAGGTGAGCTCGGTACAATGTGTGCCCAAGAAAGGCAGAATGATGGTGATAACAAATGAGAAGAATGATCTAATCCCTACAAGGATAGTAATTGGGTGGCGTATTTGCATGGACTACAGCAAGCTGAATGATGCCACCAGAAAAGACCATTATCCGGTGCCATTTACTGATTAGATGTTGGATAGGCTGGTAGGGCAAGAATATTATTGCTTCTTGGATGGCTATTCAGGGTATAATCATATAGTCATTGCACCAGAGGATCAGGAGAAGACTACGTTCACTTGTCTGTATGGCACCTATGCATTCAAACGTATGTCGTTTTGATTATGCAATGCACCAGCGACATTTTAGAGATGCATGATGGCAAACTTACATGATATATTAGAGGACTCATCTCATGTGAGGAATGAAGGACAGATTCGAGAAGAGTTCCTCGATGAGCAATTGTTGGCCTTGGACCTTGCTCAAGTACCCTGGTATGCAGATATTGTGAACTTTTTGGTGAGTGGTTTATTTCCACCAGGGGACTCAACACATCAAAAGCAGAAGCTGAAGTATGAAGCACGATTTTATATATGGGATGAGCCCTTCCTATTCAAGCAGGGACCTGATCAGATGATGTGAAGGTGTACACCTGAACAGGAGGCATTGCAAGTGTTGGAAAGTTGTCATTCTTCACCATATGGTGGACACCATGGAGGCGAGCGCACGGCACATAAGGTATTGCAATCTGGATTCTTTTGGCCTACTTTATGTAAAGATGCTGCACTTTTTTGTGAAGGGTTGTGATCAGTGTCAGAGATGAGCACTCTCTCTCTAGACAGTATGAGATGTCATTGAGCAACATCCTCAAAGTTGAGATCTTTCATGTATGGGGGGATAGACTTCATGGGACCATTCCCATATTCCAATTGAAATCAGTTCATCCTAGTGGCAGTAGACTATGTGTCCAAATGAGTGGAAGCAGTTGCTCTACCTACCAATGAACTCTAAGAGCTATGATAAGTGATGGGGGATGCACTTCATCAACAGTTCAGTGCAAAACTCTTTGGCCAAATATGGAGTGAGACACAAGGTAGCCACAGCGTATCATCCCCAGACTAGTGGCCAGGTGGAAGTGTCCAATAGGGAAGTGAAGCAAATTCTGCAAAAGACTCCGAATGCGCAAAGGAATGATTTGGCTGAAAAGTTAGATGATGCTTTGTGGGCGTATAGGATTGCATACAAGACATCGATAGGTACTTCTCCTTATCGAATGGTGCTTAGGAAAGCATGTCACCTTCCAGCGGAATTGGACCATAAAGCATATTGGGCTATCAAGAAGTTCAATCTGGATTCTGAGTTAGCTGGAAAGAAAAGGATAACACACCTGCATGAGTTAGAGGAATTTAGGCTCCACACGTATGAAAATGCCAAGTTCTACAAAGAGAAGACCAAGATGTGGCATGACAAGCATATTTTGTCACGCACCTTTGAGCCTGGTCAATTGTTGTTGTTGTTTAATTCTAGATTGAAGTTGTTCCCCGAAAAACTTCGGTCTAAGTGGAGTGGACCATTTGAAGTGGTCAGGATGACCCAACATGGAGTTGTGGAGCTAAAAAACAAGGATAAGAGCTCCACTTTCCTTGTTAATGGGCAACGAGTGGAACAATACTTTGGAAATTATGGTGATCGCAAGCAAGAAGCACTCACCTTGAATGATGAATGAGTCATGAGATGGGTCGTTTCGCGACGTTAAATCAGGTGCTACACGGGAGGCAACCTGTGACCCCTTGTAATAGTTAGGATTTCTATTCTTTTTTATTATTATTTCAATTCATAGGAATCAGTAAAAAAAATGAGATATATTAGGAAAACCATGACCAAAAATAAGGCGTTGGATGGGAGGCAACCCATCGTGTTTGCACTAATGGGTGTTGTGCTTTAAATGTGCAAGAAACATATATTTGTACCCAGGGCGCGTCACAGAGATAGATTTGAACTTTGCCTCACCTGGAATTAATTTATAGGAGTGAGGCAAAACCCTCCGTAAGGTGCACGTGTCGTGGAGGGTGCCAGGAACTTTGGTTCGACGGGAATTGATTTTTCCCTCAAAAATAAGGAAGCCCCGTAATATCTTTGTGTCATGGAGCCTGGACCAAAATTTTGCCTCGCCAGGAATTAATTTTCAGGACGAGGTAGAATGGTACGTAACGCCCCCGCGTTGCGCCTCCAGGTAAGTTTTTTTTGTTTTTCATTAAATAAGATGGGTTTTACTCGTTTTCTTTCCAAAATTACTTGACCCAATCCCTTTTAACCCCAAATTCGACCTAACATCCCCTATTATTTCCCTTTAACTGTGATTTTCCCCTCCCCTTTCTACCCTTACGATCTTTCAAGCTTCAATCCGTAATGCGGAAGCAATTCACTCTCCTATCTCTAAATTTCGCTCCTCTTTGCCATCCAAGTTACGTATTTTGCTACTTTTTTTAGCAGAAGTGTGGCTTCATTGCTTGTTGTTGTTATGGGTTGGGGTATCTTGTTCTTGGGGAGTTGTAGATGTAAGTGGTAGGGGAGGGAATTGATGTATGTTATGTTGTTATGGGTAGTTTGACTTCTTGAGTAAAAAATTACCTATTGTTGATTATGTGTGAGTTTTGGATGAAGTGTGGTTAGATGAATAAACGTAAGTGCATGTTAGGTCTTATGGACTGATTTAGAGTGTCTATTTCATGAATTTTATTGGGTATTTCGAATTCTTGAGTAGAAATTACCTTTGATTGCTATTGTTTAAGTCTTGGTTCTGTCTATATTGTAGGACTCATCTCATGTGAGGAATGAAGGACAGATTCGAGAAGAGTTCCCCGATGAGCAATTGTTGGCCTTGGACCTTGCTCAAGTACCCTGGTATGCAGATATTGTGAACTTTTTGGTGAGTGGTTTATTTCCACCAGGGGACTCAACACATCAAAAGCAGAAGCTGAAGTATGAAGCACGATTTTATATATGGGATGAGCCCTTCCTATTCAAGCAGGGACCTGATCAGATGATGTGAAGGTGTACACCTGAACAGGAGGCATTGCAAGTGTTGGAAAGTTGTCATTCTTCACCATATGGTGGACACCATGGAGGCAAGCGCACGGCGCATAAGGTATTGCAATCTGGATTCTTTTGGCCTACTTTATTTAAAGATGCTACACTTTTTGTGAAGGGTTGTGATCAGTGTCATGGGCACGTAACTCCCATGATCATCAAAACCTTATAGACCTCATCAATAAATTGTTGAGTATCTTACTCAACCTTATAACCATGCAACTCCGGAGAATTCGTTGCAACTCCGGAGAATTCGTCCTAGTGGATTCCCTCACTCTAGAATTCGACGTGCCCACATTTGGGTTCTCGGGAACCGCAACCTCCCTATTGGCTTGGGTCATCACAACTTAAGCCAACACTTGAAAAGCAGCCCTAAACTCCGCATTACAGACTTACTCGACCAAAGGATCGGCAGGAACTTGAGGAGCTTCTTGTTCCACATTCTCCCTCACATTCCTTCTAGTATAAGCTCTTCGAGTAGCCATATATTGATAGAGCACCGGATAAGGATTAAGAGAGAGACCTTATAGAGTTAAACTCTATCGCACGACTTAAAAGTAATAAAAAAGGTGGAGTTTCCTAATCATCTTGTAGCATCTCATTTATAAATGTGTTGCGCTTCACACTCATGAACAAGACTCTATTCGACGTGGGTTATGAGACATCTTAGGACCATTCTAAAGATTGTCCTCTGATTACCAAGTTTGTCAAGACCCAAGCGTACCCCCTAGATGTAACATGGCATATAGAACCCCGAAGGACTCCATACAAGCGACTTAGCTCTCATAACACACGAAATAGAACAATAAGAGTAAAACAACAGTCCAAGTCCAAAACATTTATAAAGGCAAAGTGGAAGTCTAATACACTTGTTTCATCATAGCCATTTAATACAATAGAATCAAATTAGGCTTAGCCCATACATCATGTCTAAAAGTGAAATACAAGAAAAGAAACTAAAACAATAAAAGTTCCTCCTCGAAGCATGAGTACACACCAAACCTCGAAATATCTCAAGTCAACCTCTAGCCACGAAACTGATGACCCTGACTATCAGACCCTACATTTGGGGAAATGTAAGCAAAAGTATGCGTTACTAGAAAATAATGTACCAAGTATGATAGTCATGCATAAAACATCTAAATTATGCTAAAAGGGATATTTCATTTAAAAGCATGCAATTGACCAAGCTAAAACATGATATAATAGAATTAGAAAACATAAGTCATCAAACCATGGTCAATCCAAGCGAACATCAACTTTAAAACCTTTGAACTCATATATGATACTTCTTGAAGTAACCATAGTTTATTATTAATTTGGGGAATTAGCCTTAACCGACATAGAGACCATGTGAGCTATAACATGATCCCTGGTGTCTCTCATACCGAAAAGGGTTGTCCTACTTGCCAAGGTAGAACCATGAACTTCTAGCTTAACTGGATCCACTAGCTAATGTCTCTTGAGACAATCATCCTATAAGGGCACATAGGTAAGAGATAATGAGATTGCTTCTAGAAATCCGACCTCTACTAACGGGAGTGTATCCATCTCAATATCCTCTCGGTGTTAATCATAAATCCCACATAATATTCATTACTTACTTGGCCTTATATTCATGGAAAGACATCCTAGGATAACCAATCCAAGCTAGTTTCATTAGGATAGCTCTTACTCTTTGATTCAATTAGGGAGAAAGCCTTTCAAACTAAGAATCCTTTCTATGTGAGAAAATCTTTTACATCTTGCTCTTATGTGTACATGAGAAAATCCTTTCAATAACACATCATGATCATTGGTACTTTACTCTCAAAGCACCCTTAAAATATTTGCATAGATTTCATAAAAAATGCATAAGTCCATAATTTACCTCTTGAGGTTCAAAACCCACTTTCAATCATCAACATTTAGAAAACATGGTTTATATATGTATTTCATCATAAATTCATGTAGAGCTAGGAATACATGCTTTATTTAACAAAACTCTTCCTTTAACATCCAAATCCCACATCATATGATTCATAACTTGAAAACATGGGAATTACATGGGTTCATGGAAAAGTCATCATAAAATCATATTATTTCATAAATTCATGCATAAGAGATAATAATTCAATCATTTAAGTCAATAATGAAAACAACCCATGATAATTGAAGAATACCCAAACTAAATTGGGAAATTCTAAGCTCACATCCCCATAATCGACATTCACAACATTATTGAAGCCTAATAGCTTTATACTTACTTCTTTTGTACTCATTTTCCGATTATTTGTTTGTTTATTGCACAATATTCAACTATCATTAACTAACCTAATGAGCTTAAATGGATAATATGTGTCCATATAAATTTAATTGTACCATTTTCAACTTTATGTCGATTTAGATTACATAACTAAACTTTCTCACTAGCTTGAGTATTTTCTTCATAGAAACACTATTGATGAAAAACAGACACCAGGAGTTACAAATAATGAACTAGAGTTGAAAGGACATCGAGCATGTCTTGCACACACCCATAGGAAAACAAAGATCCCTAACAAATCGAATAACGGCCTTGGAGGACAGATATGAAGTTCCATAGAGAATTATTATCATTTTACTCTCCAGCGGTACTAGGTTAGATGCAGGGCCGGCTCTTGCCTATGAATTTTTAGGCCAATGCCTTAGGCCCCCAATTTTTGGGGCCCTCAAATTTCTATAAAAAAAGTTATGTTTAATTTTTTCATGAAAAAAATTAATTATTTGTAATAAAAAGTATATATATATATATATAATATATCATATTATATTTTCTTTGCCAACACTCACATTATTTATCCTTTTTAACCCCTTTTGCACTTTATTTCTTCAAATCTTTGATAGTTAGAGTAATATTCTGTCAAAAATATGAATCAATAGCCGAAAAGCGTTGAACAAAGTATATTATAGATATTCTTTTATTTCTTCGTAACTTTTCATATTAAAGTAAGATAGACCAAGTTATCAACTTTTTGAATCAGATTCTATGATTCTAACTTTTATCTTTATTTAAAATTTATCAACTTATTACTTATAGAACTATATTATTGATTCATATAATAATTGTCTCAATAAAATGATGTTTTTCAATGTTGAATTGATAAAGTCTTGACTTTAAAAAATAATAATTAAAAAAAGTATTTGAAAAAATCATTTATAAAAAAGATATTAAAGAATAATTGACATCTAAAAATTTAGAAAAATAAATAAATACAAATAAAATTTATTTAAAATTTAGGCCTCTAATTAAAAAATTTCTTTAGGCCTCGAATTATGTTGAGCCGCCCCTGGTTAGATGCTTCAGCAAATGATTCCAAAGCAACCCATGTAGTAATAGGTGTACTCCAGGATGATCTCAAAGCAGGGTTCACATGCCTACACACTGGTTTGTACAAAAGCATGGGAGTGGTCCAGAATCAGTCTAGCCAAGATGACAAAGGAAATGGAAAGTTACATCTAAGACCAGCACATATCTTTGGGGTCATGCAAATGACTCTACATCACTTGAGAAGAGGAAGCAACCATGGATCCAAAATTATTAAGCTATTGAGGCCTTCACGAAAGGATTAACCACTGAGAGCTCAGCTACTTCTTTAAATTTGAATGAAGGCTTGT